ACTCTGGAACCTCTGTTCCTTTTGGTGTCTCTTGGAACTGTTCTCCTTAGTCAAGCTCTGCTCATTCTTTTATTGAAGCAGTATCTCCAGCATGAAATGGAGAAGTAGAAGTCAGGACCTACCCTTATCTGAGAATCTTGCCCTTTGATCCCTAAGCCTAGAGTATCACACACGTAATAACAAACAAATTTCTCTCATTGTTTGCAACAAGAAAAGCAAGCTGCTTTCAGCACTTTGTTATGTAAATCATGCATACCCACACTCATTCACTCTCTTCAGGGGAGGGCAAGGAGGCTTCTTGAGGTATCTTTTTTTTTTTTCCTATCAACCTTCTTGGTATTTTATAGACACTTCAATTTTAATTTAAAATAAAATAGCATATCATAAGATGAAATAAGATGCTTTAGTCTTTTATTCAATGTTAATTCTTGGAAATTTTTTTTCTGTTATTTTTTACAGTATTTTCTTCCGTTAATTTTATGTTCTTTCCCATTATGACTGCTATTTTGTATATTTTGATTGGAACAAATCTATTCTTTAGATTTACATCTGTCTTATTTGCTGCTCATTTTTTAGCCCTCCTCAGATAGTATTTCCATTATTATTATTATTGTTATTATTATTATTATTATTTGGTCTTTTTGAGACAGGGTCTCCCTGTAGCCCCAGCTGGCCTGGAACTCAGTATATAGACCAAGCTGGCCTCAATTCCACAGAGATCTGCCTGCCTTTGACTCTGCCTACCGAGTGCTGGGATTTAAGGCATTCGCCACCATGCCCAGCCTTACATTTTATTTTATTGTTTTCTCAAAATAGTAATTATTCTATTTTTTCATTTCTCAGTTTTCCCTTAAATTTTATATTTTTCATCTGTTCTATTTCTGCTAGGTCATTTAAACCCTTTTGGTCATTGTTATGTTTACATATTGTCTTCTATTCTAAATTATTACAAACATATTCCCTTCTTTATTTTAGACTAATTTGAAAAACTTAGCTTTATATGGTTTTCTATATTTTTCTTTTCATATTACTCTAATGCTGAATTTTATTTTCCTTTTGAAATAGCCATATTTTTTAGATGTTTTGCTATTTGACCTGTGTGCTCTTTCTTTTTTTTCAAAAATACTGGCTACTTTGGATTGATATATTATATAGAAAGGCCAGATCTAGTTTATTTCTGTCCCTGTCACCTCAGTAGTGAATATATGAATGAATCTAGATACAAGGAAACCACTGTCAATAACTGTTCATCTTGAAGCAACTTCTCAGATCACTCACTTTTCTCTACCAGAGAAAATCATTGTCTTATACAGATATACGCTTGACCCTTTTGGATAATTTTTATGATAATTTTTTCATTTCTTGTCATTAAATTTTGTTTGTTGTTAGTAACAATATGTTCATCATATTTATTGTCATATTAGAGGTTTTTCCTTACTGAAAAATAAATTTGTCTTTTATTAATAAGAATGACTATTTCTTCATAAAATACTTATCCATAAGCTTACTGATCTACAAAGCAATGACTTAGGTCTTGTTACCAAAGCAACTTTTACCATTGACAAGGGTAGATATAAGCTGCTGCAGATGTGTATGTACTCATTTAATTTCCACTAACATGGCACTCACAACTTTTAATAGCGAAAAGGCACTTTAGACTACATGAAGTATATTACATGCTTTGAAATTGAAACCCAATAGTCTAATGATATTCAAAAGTGATTAGCCATTTACATGAAATAGAACAGTACCTACAGCATAAAATTAAATAGGATATTAATCACTGTGCTTTAGGGCATAAATTAGAACATAACCAAGGTCAGGGGAAGATATAATCTAACTACAGTTAAGCAAGATTAGATTCATTATCAGAATTCTGCCCTGTTTTTAAGGAATAATGCACCAAGCACCATCTGACCAGAGTATGTGGACCCTGCCGTTAGGAGCCTCTCACTTTATTGTTACAGTGTATGTGTACTAGAGCTCTTTTTCTTCTTTAACATTTCTCCAATTTGCCACTCTACATTGAAATCCATCTGAATTCAAGCTCTTCAGAGCAAAAGTGCCCTTTTGCTAGTTCCTTCCCCCTCATTCCCTGCCTTTTTGTTCAGCATGTCCATTATATTTCTCAAAGGCACAGTGGAAATGTACAATTCAGGTGGGGATGGTGCAGGCTGTTCAAAAATGATTGTGGAAATTTTGTATTTTTAAAGCTCTATTTAAGGGATCTTAGGGGTATGGTCTCTTTTGGAGCTCTTAATTGTACTTGTCTGATATATACATCATCTTTCCAATTAAGTCAACTTTGTCCTAGTTTTTGAGGTAATGAAATTGGAAAATAATAAACACTTAAATATATTCCTTCAAAGATCCATAAAAAAACACATTTTAAAACAGTGAATTTACAGGAGTGGCTCATGATAGAACAATTACATAGCATATATAAAGCCCTGGCTTGGTCCTCAGCACAGCCAAAATTAATGTAAGTAAATAAGGAAAATAAAAGTATGAATAAAATAAAGGTGAGGTTTTAAAATAAATTTAATGATGAAGAAACCAGTGTATTAAGATATCTACCTGAGTATGAAAAGCAGACTAGAATGTTCTTATTGATATGGACTTAAATGTGTGTATTAGATGAATTCAGCTATATTTTTAAAATATTTTATTTATTATATTTACTTGATATGTATGAATGTATGCTTGCATGTGTGTAAGTGCACTCATGTTACACAATGCCTGTGGAGGTCAGAAGAGGGTGTCAGATCCACTGGAACTGGAATGATGGATAGTTAGTTGTTAGCCACCATGTGGGTATTGGGAATTGTACTCGGGTCCTCTGCAAGAGCAATCAGTGCTCTTAACCGCTAAGCCATTTCTCTAGCCCCATCAACTATATTTTTTAAGAATAAATAATTTTTTAATTTAAATTGTTCTATTAAGAAAATAAAAGTATTTTCCATCTGCAGATTCCACACTTGACTTCACACTCAGAGATTCATTTCTGGAGTCCATCAGCTTCTAAGAAAATGCGGAAATAGTGACTTTTCTGTCTCTCTTGCAGCATGTAATTTTGAGTTATTTGCCAAAAAATCCAAAATCTTAGAGAAAAACTCTCATGAACTGTCGAATGCTTGGCATATACAATTCTAATAGGATTTTCTTTTTCTTTCTTTTTTAATTTAATTTTTGAGAATTTCATACAATATATTTTGATCATATTTAGTTCCTCTCCCATAGCTGCACCTCCTTGCCAATCTCCTACCCAATTTCCTATCTTCTAACACATAAGTCTACAGAGTGAGGTTTGTGTCTCCATTTACCCACTGGGGTGGGCTCATCCACTGGAGCCTGATTAACCTACCAAGAGTCTTACCTTTAAATGGAAATGAAGGACTCTTCCCCTCCCATCAGCCTTCAGTTGTTAATAGTTCCTCAGGTGGGGTTGGGTTTCTTACCCACTTCATCGTACCTATGCTGAAATTTTGTCTGGCTTGAGCTTACATGGAACTTGTACATGCCATCACCATTACCATGAGTTCATGTGAGTAACTGACCAGCTCTCTAGAAAACTCTCTTTCTTTGTGGTCATCCACCTCCTTTGACTGTTACAGTCTTTCTGCCCCATCTTCTGAATTGATTCCTGAGCCTTGGGAGGCAGAAGTTTGATATAGGTATCCTGTTTAGGGCTAAGCACACTGCAGTCTCATATTCTCTGCCTGTTGACCAGTTGTGAGTCTCTATGGTAATTACCATCTCTTGTATAAGAAAACTTCTCTGCTGAGAGTTGAGAGATGCATTAATCCATGGGTATAATGACAAGTCATTAGGAGCCAGTTTAATGCTATAGCTATTTAGCAGAATAAGAGTATTAGGCTTTCTCCTATGGGTCACCGTATTTAAAAGTTTATTTTCCTTAGAAATTTACATTTATTTCATGCACTATAGAAGTTCATTACCCTAAAATTAATTTTTCTCTTAATATGTACTTTTCATATTTTCAGCAGATAAAATTAGAGTTTTGCAATAAGTGGGAATTTAACGTTAGATTCACTATGGTAATCTGTTACAACTACGTTTGATTATATGTACTCTTGCTAGACTTTGAGGAAAAGAAAAAGTTGTTTCTTATTCAGCTTTTGGTTAGCTGGCCCAAAATGAATAAATATACACAAAATGGAAAGATTTTAATTCAAATCTTATGTTGTAAATGCAGTTTTCCTGAAATACTGGTTATTAATTGAAATATGAATTTTTGTTAAATTTTCTTGCATGATCAAGTCAATAAGCCCAGTTTGAATAATGAATTAGTAGAATTTTGAATTGTGTTAAATTTTGAATTTCTAAGAAATTGTTCAGGAATTGCTCTGTGTCTGTAATTGGATATAGCCTATATTCACTAGAGGTTAAAGAAGTCTTAGGGTGCTTTTGGTCACCAGCTGGGATTATAATAATCTAGAACATTAAGTGCACAATGTGAGAAAGAATGCCTTCCAGGGAGGAGCATTTCTCAGGGGCATGAGTGACCTCTTTAGTGAGAGGTGCTGCAGCTCTGGTGCCTTCTGAAGCTCCTGGGCCTTCCACCATTTTGCCTAACTTGTGGGATGCAAGGAACTTGCCACCTTTGCAGACATGTGTATTGCTTTTTGTCCAAAATGATAATTTAATTGTATTTATTTGTAACTGTGTCATAGAGCTTTGTGGCTCAAAGCTCTATAACTATAAATGTTCATCAGAATTTCCCTTCACTCATGAACAGATCTCCCTTTTGGCTTAAATACAAATAATGTTTTCAGCATATCTTATCCATGAGCATTCCAAAATATATTTTAAAATGGTCAATGTGTACTCTTGTTGAAAATTAAAATGCTACCTATTACCATTATTATTAGCAAAGTGACATATTTAAAGTAAAGTATGCTATTAAATATACTTGTGTGCACAGAGGGGTGGGGCTAATTAATTGGTCTTTTTTTTTTTTTTTCTGTTTTTCCTCTAAGTTATCTGGAAGTATTTTGGATGTATATAGTGGTGAACAGGGGATTTCTGCAGTTAATATGGGTCTTACAAGTGCTTCCTGTCCCAGTAGTTTACCAATGAAAAAGGAAATTGCAGGTAATGTTTTTATACTTTCATCTTTTAAATTTTTGTCAACTTCATAAGATATGAGTGACATATTGCCAGATCGAATAAAAATTTAAAGTACAATCAGAATAGTGAAAAGGGAGAAGTTTAGAGAATGAACTAATCATTTCTTAATGATAACCAGGCAGTAAATCAGTGTCATTTACAGTGTGGCTGAGTGGTTGCAGAATCATAGTAATTGCCCATGTGCTGTTCATATGCATGGAGCTTCATGCAACCTAGGTTCATTTTGATATTGATCTATCAAAGGAAGGAACTTATTCTCTGTATGAAGAATTTGGTTGAAAACAAAAACGGGTTTTTAAAACATTTTATAGATATTCAATAGACATATTTAATTTGTAAATTGCGAAAAGAAAAAATCTCAGTTTTTTTTCAGTTTATTTCCAAATCCTCATAACTTGAAGGAATTATATGGACATAGTCAAATTCTTCCAAATACCTAGATAAGAAAATCAAAAATCGGGTTAATTTTCCAAAATTGTATGGCTAGTTAGCAACAGAAATCAATTAATGTAATTGTATGATTTTTTGGCTTATAGTTACCATGTTAACTCTTTTCTCTTTTCTCTCCCCTCCCCTCCCCTCCCTTACCCCCTCCTTTCCTTTCCTTCCTTTTCAATTCTCCTTCCTTCCTTCCTTCCTTCCTTCCTTCCTTCCTTCCTTCCTTCCTTCTTTCCTTCCTTCCTTCCTCCTTTTGCATGTGTGCCAGGCAGGTATGCGTGAATCTGTGTGTGTGTGTGTGTGTGTGTGTCTGTCTGTCTGTCTGTCTGTCTGTCTGTGTGTGTGTGCATGGATGTGGAGGCCAGAGGTTGCCCCAGGTCATTTTCTGAGAGAGAGTTTGTGGCGTTGTTTGATATGAGTGTCTGAGGTATGTAGTTAGTTCCGATTCTTTTGATGTAGCAATCATAATTATTTAGGAAGAAATTAGGCTAATTTCTGAATCTGAAAATTCTGAGAATAATAAAAGTGATTGAAGAGATCAATATTTTCAATGTAATATGCCTGTATAAGCATCTCATTAGTCATCAGGCAGGTATTATAATGTATTCATTTTACAGATGGAGAGCCTGAGGCACAGATTTCTCAATTGTTCACATCGCTATTAAATGGAGAGTCAGAAAACAAATCAAAACTACACCAAGGCTTAAAGTATTTGCCACTGCCTTTTATTTAAATGTTCACTGCTCTAAATGCCTTACTATTTGGCCTAAAAATATTATTACACTATTTTAGAACAAATAATAATATTGTACTTAGGACAAACAATAATATTGTATTTCTGAGCATTGCCACACAGTAAGGTTTTCATGTAGATCTAAGCTGGGTTTCAATGATTTTTCTCTCACTCAGACACCAACACTGGAGCTTTGGCAAAAGAGAGACAGAAGAAGGACAACCACAACCTCAGTGAGTGCTTTCCTGTTTCTCCAAAGAGAGCTAACAAGAGCATGGAATGGTCTCTTTGATCCTTCATGCTCAGGGTGAATGTGCTTGAATGAAATGAGTATATTTGGTTACATTTGAACTGTGTTGTGATTCACCAACTCCTAGATTTAAAGAAATAAAATGGCTATAAAAGCTACACCATTCTGTCAGAAACAAGTCCAAATTCCCACTTTTCAGTATCAAGTTGCTCTTCCTTTCCTAATGGCATGTTATCTGAAAGGCACTGCTTATGTTGTAATATTGAATTTCTCGTGACTTCTGTAGGTTAATTTGACTCTGATAACCAGTCACACAACATATAGAAACATGAGTGAGAGAGGTTAATTAGCAGCAAGACCAAGGTTTAAAGTGCTTGGTCATGGGTTTAGTGCTTAACTATTTCAACCTAGTGAACTCTAAATGAGTGGGAAGCTTTTTTTGTTCTCAGAGACAAGTCACAAACAGAAAGAGTAGCAGAATGAAAGTGAAAAAGAGTGAAGCCCTAAGGCAAGACGCTAACTTTCTCACATACAATCGGCAAATTGATTCTGCCTGTGCCTTTGAAATCTGTATCTGTGCCTAATATGCCTGCTGCATCAGACTGGTAAGGAAAGATACCCCATACCATTATGGGGCACAGTCATTAGGACAATGATCTTCAGATTCCCTTATTTTAAGGGGCAGGACAGATAACTTTGATTTAGAAGAAGAGATAAGAGGAATATGAGTGGAGAGAGCTAATCCTTGGTAAGAGTGGTACACAGAGGACTACAGCATTCTCCCTTAGTGAACTTGTTAATGATTACTGTTCTCCCTTCTCTCCTCTGTATAGAGAGTTCATCAACAGGCGATTTAATATAAAGTATGGTAGGTGTCTGGTATGTGCCTTGTCAGTGTTTTAGAACCTTGATTCTCTTGGTAAATCCTCTTGCCTTCAAGTGGCATCAATATTAAAATTTTTGTATCATAGCTTTTATATAAGACAAATATAAAACACTTTAAAATATGGAACCTGTGAGAGTATTACAAAACTACAAAGGAGGTTCTATTATCAGATGTCTAAACATGAAAAAAGTTGTAAGTCAGATTTGAAAACGTCTATCCTTACTAAAGCCTGGAAGGCCAGGAGTGAATTTAGAATCCTCAGATTGAGTTTGGCATGGGAATATCAATACCAGCCCCATTTTGTAGTCTACTTTCTTTCTCTTCTCTATGTTGTGCTGTAAGTGACTTTATACCTGAGTGAACACACCACTCCATAGATATACAGCCCTATAAACATCTGCCCTTTGGCCACACAGAACGAGGGGTATTATCTACCTCCCTTGTAAGAGTAGAGCCCAGATAGCTGCCTGCACTGGCTCTGATAATGAGCTCAGGACATGAGACTGGAAATTCCTTGTTCAAGTAAGCCAGAGTGCAATTCAGCAGGATTCTCTTGACCTAGGCCTGCCTTGCTCTGTGTAACCAGAAAATGCATAAGGGTCCTCTGAATGTGCATCAGAGTAGAGATCTTGTTTGCCTGGAGTTAGGGAGAGGATTGACTGAATATGCCTAAAACCTAGCAGAGAGCAAAAATTTGGAATTCCTTAAAATATGACACTTTATAAAAAGCTAGCATAGATATGAGCAATGTTGGGGAACTCAAGTTGTAATTATACATTCAAAGATTATAGGTAGACTCTAAGGGGAGTAGAGAGGTTTCTGATAGTATGCACGAGGTGAATTTAGATAAAATGTTTCTGAAGAAACATTATATTGTTCACCTATTTTGAGATAAAACCATGAATTTTCTTCATGTTGTATATTATAGAAGACAGTGTATACGAACATAGACTCATTAATAAATTCTCACTGTAAAGTGCATATGTATTTTTTATCAGTTTTATTTTATTTTGCATAGTATTATTTAGCTCTTTTAAATATTATACTTAAGACAGTAGAATTAGTAAAAAGGGAAAACAAACTCAACAATTGATTATATTCTTTTAAAAATATTGTTATTTGAGACTTTCACAAGATATATTTTGACAATATTCAGACTCCCTCCTACATCTCTACTTCCAACTTATTGTCTCCCTGCCCCTGACTTCAGGTCCTCTATTATTATTTTTCTGTATTTAAAGGCCAAATCAAGTCTAATCTGTGTTACCAAATGCTCTTGGGTATGAGTCTATCACTTGGATATATTCTAATTTTAATGTTTTATTTCTGAAGATCAAATCAGTTCATGGTACTTTGCTTTGTAGACAAGGTTCACTAAGACAATTTACATTCTTTGGTGGCTTCATTTCACATAGTATATATTAGTTGTTAGTCCCTGAGTATTTTAAGCATGTTATCTATTGCAAAAATATTACATGTAAGTATACATTGTGGTTCTTGATATTAGAATATAGATTACTGCTCTTAGGGTCAGTATAAGAAACTCATCATATAGCTGACACTCAGTGAATAGTTACTGTATATCTAGTTACTATATATAAAAATTATTATAAATAATGAATGAATACAGAAATAGAAGAAACATTATTAAATAACTTATATGTTCAGTTCTCAGATTGTTGGCATTATTCATGTAATATTTGCCTCATCTAAGGACTCTTCAGAAACATATATACTGGCTCTACTAAAATCAGAATTTCTAGATATGAGGTATAAAGCTGTGTAAGAATTCTTCCAGATAAGTCTGATGCAAACCATTTTGAAAATCACTTGTCTATATGTTATCGAAAACTTTAAACTAGAAAAGTAGGCCCAGAAAAATGATTCAAAGGGTAAATACCTTGCTACCAACCCTGATGACTAAGTTTGATCCCTAGCACCCATACTGTGAAAGAAGAGTACTAACACTCACCAGTCGGTTTCTGATCTCACAGGCATGGGGTGTCATGCATGTGTCACACACACACACACACACACACACACACACACAAACACACACCATAAATAAATGTTAAATAAAGAAAAATAAGCTAGTAGTCTAATTCACACATGTCTATTTTTTTAAAGCACATTCTGTATGGGCTAAGCTCTCTGGAAATAAAAAATTGACTCAGATATGACCCTAACTTCAAAGTAGTCATTGTTGACTGATCACACATACTTACAATGTGTTAAACATTAAGAGGAGGGTATGAGAAGGGTAGATCATGGTGTATGACCTCAAGAGTTTACAAGAATGGAGTGCTAAAATGTGTATGTGTGCAGTAAGAACCAAACAGGAAGCATATGAATATGTGTGTGTGTGTGTGTGTGTGTGTGTGTGTGTGTCCATCATTCTTAGCAAATGTAGCAATTAAAAAATAAAAGTGTTTTGGGACAAAATATTTTTTAAAATATTATGAATTATATACTCACCATTCTAGTATTGATATTTTGCTATTAGTATAAGATGTATTTAAATTTTTATCTTATCTTAATTATTTTATCTTATTATTATTAAAGTACTATCTTTTGACTAATTGGGGTTATTTTTCCTCATTGTTTTTAAAAGATTATTAAGTTTACAGCTGACCAAAAGTGAATTGTTCTTTAATGAGAATAATCAATAATATTTCTTCCTTAATAGTTGAAAGAAGAAGAAGGTATAATATTAATTACCGAATCAAGGAGCTTGGCACTCTTATTCCAAAATCTAATGATCCGTGAGTTCAAAATCATTTCTGCAGTAATGTTGTAGTTTCGATACCCCCACAAATGGGTGGAAGGGTAAAGGGGAGGATGGATCAAGTGGCTAGGAAAGTAAGCATCTTATAGAAAAAGTAATGTTACCGCTGGCCTCACTTTAAATATCTATTTCTGAACATAGAAAATAAGTACATTAGTTTTCAATTTATAGTGGCTGTCTGTATATTAACATAATTGACAAATTTAGTAACAGTGTCCCAAGCTATTTATGATACTGAATGGGATACTCAATTTATGACAATAGCATTTCTTCCAACTAAAGATTTATATGGACATTAAAGTTAATTTGTCAGAATTTCAGATATGCCCAAATTCTGGAGATGCACAATTTAAAAATATGGAGTTGTAAAAACCTGTTGATTAATTCCAACCAGGTTTTGGTGGCATACAGAGTCAAATGTGGTGTTTGAGGTTGTAAATCTCAAGAAATAATTAAAGTTTCAAATTAGAATGTGGGATGTTTGTACAAAAATATTAAAGCATGATCTATAGCTTCAATGATGATTTCAAAATGACCTCTCCAGCACCAGCAATTATCTAGGATCCAAAAATGAGGATGTTTGATGAAGTGATACTTGTGAGAATTAAATGCACTTTTCCTAAATATAATTTTCATTCTAATTTAAGCAATTAGATTCTGCATGATAGAAAAAAAGGGGACTATTTTTCCTGATGAGGCTACTAGACATACACAGCATGAAGAATGTCATGGCAGAAAAAAACCAGTGTAGAACTCCGAGATGCTCAGGTCTAGCTCTGACTCTACTGATCATCATCCAAATACACTAAATTCTCAAAGTGCAGGACTCTTTTTCAAAAGAGAATGGTTCTGGAGCGATGGCTTAGTAGTTAAGAGTGCTTGCCATTCTTGCAGAGGACCTCAGTTTGGTTTCTAGCACCCAGATTCATCAGCTCACAGCAACCTGCAGCTCCAGCTCCAGGGTATCAGGCACTTGCACATCCACACACATACCCACACACAGGTACATACAAACACACAGACACACACACAGACACACACACAGACACACACACTTTAAATATGAAAAAACCCTTAAAAATCTTTTGAAGAGAATAACTATTTGTCTTTCCTATATAATTATTTTAGGTGTATGTGACTATGACTATATTATATATAATATATAATTATTTAAGGTGTATGTGAATATATTATAAAGATTATTTGGGGCTGGAGAGACGGCTCAGTGGTTAAGAACACTGGCTGTTGTTGCAGAAGACCAGAGTTTGAATCCCAGCACCCCCATGGTAGCTAACAACCATCTGTAATTCCAATTCCAGGGGATCTGACTCCCTCTTCTGTCTTCAGTGGGCACTGTATGACATGGTACACTTACACACATGCACTCATAACACTCATAGACATAAAAACAAATAAATAGATTCTTTGAAGGATTATATTGCTTATATTTTATAAATGTTTTGATCATTTGAAGATTTTCTGGATTAACTCATGTAGCTTAAGAGATGGCAAGATTTTCCTATAGATATTATATATACTCTATATTACAGTTATTTAACTCTGCCACTGTAGCCCCAATGCAGACATATACTATATGTAAATGAGTTAACTTGCCTGTAGTCACTGAAACTTGATTAATAAAAATACACTGTGAGCTCTCATTTATCTGATCTAGACTATGGATAATCATTTTTATCACAGAATCACATCTGAAACAAGATAGTTGGGAAAACATCACAATAAGCATTCCTTAAGTTTCTTTTTCTTCATTATGAATCTCAGATCCTTGAGTCCCAGAAAGAAGGGCTGTTATTTATGTTGATTTTATTATGCTATAAGTAGGCATATCTTGCTGGAAACATACTGAACAATCAAATGCTGGATAGGACTATATGTGAATGAATGGTACGGGCAAAGAAGCCTACTTATGTGACATTCCAAAATTCTCAACACTAAATGCTGCTTTTGTGCATTTCATTCCTTGGCTAGCTGTGGTCTCACCTGTCATGTCAGTGTCCTCTGAGGTTCAGCAGTGAGAACCTCATGGTTGAATCTAGAATCTATCATCTTAAATCTTATCTCAGTGGATTTCACTGGGAAGTAGTGCCTAGATCTACAACCTTGGGAACAACTATGTATTCCATGAAACAATTTGGATTCATCTTTGGAATTTCAGATGTTTATATATACAATTTAAAAATTTCAGAAAAACATTAGGGAAAGAATGTAAGACTAATGCAGAGATGGCAAGATTCTGTCCGAAGACAGCAAGATGAGTAAGACACAGCATTACCGTGCTAGGGCAGTGAGGACATTAAAAAGCCAACTTAAAACATAAAAGTGTCAAATAAAATTATTAGTTTGAGTGAACAATTTCAAATGACTCTGTTACACAGATGACATCCATTAAAATGACAAAGAACCATTCTTTGAAAAAAAAGGAACCAGCTAGATGTGATAGTTCACATCTGTAATTCTAGCATTCAGGAGGCTGAGGCAGGATTATCATGAATTTGATGACAACCTTGGCTATGTAGTGATGTCTAGGCTAGTCTGAGCTACAAAAAAAGACCCTGTCTCAAAAGTATATACTTATAGATAAATAAATATATATGCTTATTAAATCACCACTGAGAATCTTTAGGAAGCCTGTGATATAACTATTAACCAACAACCAACCAAATAAAACACATCTAGAATTTTTTTTATCTTAGCCACAGCTGGCCTGGAACTCACTGTATAGACCAGGCTGGTGTCCTTCTCAGAGATCTGCCTGCCTCTGCCTCCAGAGTGCTGGAATTAAAGGCATACATCACCATGCTAGGCAGATCTAGAATTTTTTAAAAAAGAAAGCACCAATGTGTTACATATCACATTGGGCAGGATACCAAGAGTGCATCACGTAACAAAATAAGGCATGCTTTTTTATCAGATGCATTTGACAAAAAAAAGAGAACCGCAGGTTTCTAAGAACCAATGAAATGAGTGAGGAGATCTAGAACTTTCCTTCAATACTGCATGCTCTTGGGCAAATAGCTCCGGGAGTGGTTCAGTTCCGACGACTTTTCAGCACATTAGGCTAAGCTTTAGGAAGGAAACTGAGGGTAATACCTTGAAGATGCCGAAGTCAATAAAGTTGCCATATTTATGTAACAAAACATTCAAAAATTTGCATTTCCTTGTAGAATAAAATTGTGGAGTTAGAAGAGAAAGTATACTGGAAAAACTTTAAGAAACATAATTTGGGGGCTGGAAAGGTGGCTCAGCAGTTAAGAACACTGGCTGTTCTTGCAGAGGGGCAGGCTTCGAATCCCAGCACCCACATGGCAGCTGTCAGTTGTCCATAACTCCAGTTCCAGGGGATCCGACAGCCTCTTCTGTCCTCCGCTGGCATTGCACTACATGGGTGCACTTGCCCACATGCAGGCAATACACGCATACACATAAAAAAATAAAAATAATAAAATATTAAAAAAGAAACATAATATGAGAAAATACAAATCGGACATGTCTTGATGCTTCCTGTATTTTTTAGTACAAAATTGTACTGCTTTTAAGTGATTGTGTGTACCTCAAGTGACAGCTGATGAGGGATTCTCTACAGCTTTGCCTGATGGAGCACCCACAATTTTCACCTTGGTGCTTCATATTTTATTTTCCTAACTTCATATTTTTAATTCCTCTTCTACCAAAAGTTTTAAGTTCTTAAAAAATTGCTTTACAGAAAATGAAAGGGCAACGTCATATTTTTCGTTTAGTCATGGCTTTATGTTCTGTGTTTTTATCCTACCATCACATTCTTTTAAAACACTTTAATGCCACGGTACATGGACTTATCTTGGAAAAGAGGAAAGAGCTCTTTAATATACAAGGACAACTCAGTTCAAAACATTTAAATATCAAAGCTGCAACTATTCAAATTCTGTCAAGGGCAGTGAATTTTGAAAGCAGTCTAAACGGCATTGGGTCCAATTAAAGTGTGGTATAGTGTTATCTGTCACCATTTTAGACCTAAATAAGTAGTACTTTAAGGTTCAAAGTTGGGTGGGATGGTCTTTTGCTCTTAAAAACACTCTTATTTTTGAGAATTTCATACACATATACAATGAAGTATGATCATGTCTTGACCCCTCCTTTCTCCACTTCCGGTTTCCCCCATCCCCAGTTCTCTCTCTCTCTCTCTCTCTCTCTCTCAGCCCAGTTATGCTGCCCATATGTGCATGGGAGTGGGGACAGGTCATTTTCTTCTTCCTTCAAGTTTTTCTTCCCAAGTGAAGAAATGAAACAAAATTAAAGTTCCATAGATTCCTATTATTAATAAGAGTTTCAATGTAGAAGGCCACAATAGTTCTCAATTATAGATATTCTTTGGTTCAATGACCAAAATAGCTTATTTTTTCATACCTCTTGAATTATGAGATAAATCCTTAGAAGTAGGATGATCCCAATACACACAATTACCCTAGAAACAGAAGTGAATCATTTTTAAATTCAGCAAACGCCGGCAGTGGTTTGGTTTGGTGCATTTCAGTAGATGATTGTCTAACCAGACCTCAAGGCACATTTTCCTGGGCGGTAAAATGTATCTTCTTTTAATTTGCTGCTGCTAATGGCATGACCACCTAACCTGACTTCCAATGATACATATTCAAATTCTAGCTTTCATAAAATGTATATTCCCACATCTGTTATTAACTTATATTTTGCATAGATTATACAAACTAAAAATGTATGTTTTTAGACAATATAAACTAAAAATATCTATGAGAAGATGTGAAATTTTCCTACATAATTACTTTATATTATATTTAAATCATTTCCTGGGGCAGGAGAGATGGCTCGGCAATTAAGAGCACTGGCTGCTCTTACAGAGGACCCAGGTTCGAATCCCAGCACCCACATGGCAGCTGGCAGCTGTCCATAGCTCCAGTTCCAGGGGATCTGACAGCCTCTTCTGACCTCCATGGGCATTGCACGACATGGATTCACTTATATACATGAAGGCAATACATTCATGCACATAAAATAAAAATAAAAAATTAAATCATTTCCTGGGGCCCGGGGAATTGCTCAGTGTGTAGTGATTGCCGTTTGAGCATGAAGTCCTGAGTTCATATCCCTAAGACCCACATAAAAAGTGAGGTGAGGCATGCTGTCCTGTAATTCAGTCACTGGGAGTTAGAGACAAGAAGATATTTGGGATTTGGTTGGTCAGTCGATTTAGTAAAATCAGTAAACTCTAAGTTCAGTGGGAGACCCTATTTCAAAAAACTCAATAAATAAGTGTTGGACAAGGAATAAAAGATGACACTGGATGCTGACTTCTCGCCTTTGGAGGCAGGTACCTCCCTAACACACACACACACACACACACACACACACACACACACACACACAATACACACACACAGGCACACATACAGGTACATACACATAGGCACACACACAGATAAACACACATACATCTAATCTAATGACATTAATTTGAAATTTTGTTACTATTTTATTACCACTTTAATTAATATTTACTAATTAGTTCTCTTTTTAAATTTTTATTATTTTTATTTTATTTGTACACATGTATTGCCTACATTTAGCTAAGTGCACCCGTGTTGTGCAATGCCTGCAGAGGACAGAAGAGGTCGTCGGCTCCCCTGGAACTGGAGTTACGGACAGTTATTAGCACCATGTGGGTGCTGGGATTTGAACCTGGGTCTTCTGCAAGAACATCCAGGGTTCTTAACCGCTGAACCATCTCTCCAGCCCCACTAATTAGCTCTTAATCTCAGTACATATTAACAGTTCTCATACAGCATTACATTCATTATTTTTTCTGACATTACAGTAATTAACTTCTTTCATATTTCTATATCAATATTTCTCCAATATTAAAATATTAAAAAGATTGTGTATACCAAAGCTTAATTGAGAAAGATTTATTTATTCACCTCAAGTATTTTAAATATACAAATATTTAAAAATAACTTTTAAAATCCAGCTTTAAAAACATTGATGTCATTTGTACAGAACAATTGGTCAAATGGTTTAAAGTCTTACTCTATTGCGTAAAGTGATGTTGCCCACCTCTGCTATGTTCCATAATCACTCAGAATCACCATTTGGGAGAGAATTTTTTTTTCTTAGAAACAAAAGCAACTTTATTAGGAAATAGGCTAAAAGATTGGTACATTTGAAATGATCTTTAAAAATTTAGGCTTAAGTTGTCAGTAATGTACATTTCCTAGTTCATTAATGCTGAAATACTGCACATAGATTTTAATCTTAGAGTTAATAATAAAAGCAATTTTCACTAAAAATATAAAAACTGTAATGGTAGAATCATGATATTGCATTTAGCTCTCCCACAGAAAGCCACTTTATTACTTTCTTTTGACACTTATTTTCATTCTGGGATTAATTTTACTATATAAGGGCTTCTTAACTATTCTATTAAAATTTCTATTCAGAAGCAATAATATCTAAGAGTGAATAATAGTCATGTAAATCATTATTTCATATTAATGTAAAAGATTTTGTAAGTTCTTATGAATTCTGCTGACATGCACAATTGTGAAAAGGTTATCTCTCCCTTCTGCAGTGATATGCGCTGGAACAAAGGAACCATTCTAAAAGCATCAGTGGAGTACATCAAGTGGCTACAGAAAGAACAACAGAAAGCACGAGACTTAGAACACAGACAGAAGAAATTAGAGCAGGCTAACCGGAGACTTCTACTCCGGATTCAGGTCTTTATGGAACTCTTACTACGAGCTGTATGAGGAATATTTCTGTCACTGGTTTATTCCTTGCTCTCACTTATTCTTTTTCTTATTAACACTAATTTTTCCTTGGTGAGATAAGTTTATTGTCTTTTAGAAGTTCATGAACCAGGTTGTTTGAATTAGATTTGGATTAGAAACCGAAGATCAAGGTGACTTGAAATACATATATTATGAATGAGAACTAATTACCAGATGCAGAAAATAGAACTCATTTCTTATACACATATGATATCCACCCCTAAAATCAAAGTATACTGTTTGTTTCTGTAAGATAATATTGGATACTAAATTTTCCAACCCCCTTCATTTCTTTAGTAACATTGTTATGGATTTCTTTACCGCGAGACATTTATGAGTTTACGTTGTTACTTCTCATCTATTTATGTGACAAAATATTAAAATATAGGCTTTTATTTTTGGTTTTTGAGACAGGGTCTTCTTGTAACCCCAGCTTGCCTGTAACCCTTTACGTAGATTAGGCTTGCCTGGATCTCACAGAGATCCCCTGCCTCTGCCTCCTAAGTGCAAGGATTAAAAGTGTATGCCACCATACTCAGCTAATTTTTATTTATTTTTAAAATATAGACTTTTAGAACCTCTCTTTCTTTTTTAATGCAAGTATGCATATAGTTGGGTAAAGGATTTACTCTGTTTCTATGAAATAGCCTTGAGTTGTGGCAAGAGATTAACCAAGAGGAATAAATGGAAGTTTTTCTATTATTTTTGTATCATGGTATTTAGTCTGAACCACTAGGACATTGTACGCCATGAATGAGTTTACAAGCACCAAGAGGAAAAGTATTTTTAATCTAAGTGATTTTTCAACCCTCATAAATGCAGCCGATTGCTTTATTCATAAAAACATTTAAGTTGCATTACTCCTCATAGTTATTTTCTTCTGCTTCCACTTTGATCCCTCTAGTGATGTCTTCTTTTCTAATGCATTGTTTAATAATGATTCTTATTGGTAATTGCAGGAACTAGAAATACAGGCTCGTGCCCATGGGCTGCCAACAATGACTTCACTTGGCACTGTTGATTTAGGTGCACATGTCACCAAACAGCAAACCCACCCTGAACGAAACTCAGTGGACTATTGCCAACAACTGACTCCATCTCAGGGGACAAGCCCGGAGTTCTATGATCAAGCTATGGCCTTTTCTGATCCATTGTCTCACTTCACAGATTTATCATTTAGTGCTGCTTTGAAAGAGGAACAAAGATTGGAAGACATGTTGCTGGATGACACAATATCCCCCTTTGGAACAGACCCGCTGCTCTCTGCCACTTCCCCTGTAGTTTCCAAAGCAAGCAGTAGAAGTAGTTTGAGCTCAGAGGATGGTGACGAGTTATAAGACACAAACAGACTGTTTGTCAAATAGGAAGCAGCTCCATCCTGGTGCTATGCAATTATGATCTGTATTTCATATGTTGCTTTGGCTTAATTTTCCGAAAGGACTATATGGTCCATGAAAAAGGTGATTTGAAGTGATTAAAGAATTCATGGAAAGAAGAAACATGCTGTTGAAGAATTATTGAAGCTCAAAGTAATGTTTTCCCCTTTCTCAACAGAATCCAAATTTACTTAAATTTCATTTTCCTAGAAAGAGGCACAACCAAAGACATGGCCCTGAAATGATGCTTTGAAAACAGTGACATGATAAGCTACTTGAAACTGATGTCCATAAAGAGACTGCAATATATAATCTCCTCTTATTCACTTCTATAGTCTTGTCACCTCTTACAGCACCCGTTTTTGAGAATCAAAACCAACAAATCTGGTGATTATTGTTTTCCCATTGTCTGGTGGACATATGTAAGGTGGAAGTCTTGTTGGGAAAAAATCACACAAAATATATTTTCTATCACTTGTACTTGAAAACTCAATCATAATAAACATGAGAATTTTCAAAATAAAGATAAAAATATTATTTTCTAAAATGAAATCTTGACTCCTTTAATCAATCCAATTAGTATTTATGTCTCTGTGCTTTGTTCACTAAAAGGAACACACTGGGTAATTTTCTCTAGAACATGATCCTAAATTTTCATATAAATATTCATGTGTGTCGTGCAAATAGGACAGGTTATTTTATTTGTGTCATCCCTCTGATTTTCACATCAACTTCAGAATCACATTCCAGATTCTCTTTCCTTCTAAGATGTGACAGATGACCAATTTTAAACTAGAATATGTCCCCATACTAGGAAAATTTGTCTAGTATTTAAAATTTATCTCATGAGCAGTCTTAGAGGTTACCTGTTGATTCTGGTTTTCTCAAAAATGACATGTTGAAAATGAGATTACCAACTGTAATCTGTAAAGGAGAAATAATATATTTTTTATATTCCAGTCTGAATGCAGGATGAAGTTCTGTTTCTCTTGGTATTTAGACTGCCCCAAGGTCTGGCTGTATGTGGCCATTTACTACAAATGTTTATGTCTGCAGTACTTTCATTTATGTTTTTATTCTTGAGCTTGTTCAAGCTTTGGGAATTTTGTCATTACTAATGTTACTCCATCTCACATTATGACTAGCCTTTAGTGAGTGGTCATGAATCAATCAGTATTTCTGAGGGGATACTCAGAATAGCCCTGGGCCCTGTGAAAATGTTCAACAGATAGAAAGATATGCTCTTATTTTTGAGGGGGAACTTAACAAGATTACGAGAAAAACAGCAGCAAAGGATAGGAAACAGCAGAGTTAAAATCTAAGCAAAAGCTGTAAAATAGAAAAGTTCAGAGAAAATGAATGATCACAAAGTTGAGGGGAAATGCAGGATGCAACTCTTTAAAATGCATAAACTCGGAATGCAGTGGTGATAGTTGGGGAGGGGGTAACACAGCATACTACCAGTCACCAAAATCACACAGAAAAAGTCAGGGAAGTATCTTTATAAGGCATTTGGTAGAAAGATCTGGGTACCCTTTCTGTTTGTAAGTTTTAGGAAATAATATTGCCAGCAGGTTGTGAAGATGTAGGATGTAGGATGAAATAATATATAAAATTAAAATAAATTTAAAGACAGAATAAAGTAGTGTTAAGTCCCAAGTCAACTAAAATAAATTTCAAATTATACAGTACTTTTAAACTTTTCATGGCACGAATGCCTTGGAAACTTAGTGAAAATTATTTATCCTCTTCCTACAGTAATGGTACTGTACATGTGGACAATAATTTGCACTCATCAAAAGGAAGCCCTCCAGAATGTCTTCGTGGATCTCGGGTGAAAAGTTTCTGCATCTCATCTGTAATGTTACAAGCAAATACTTAACTGTAATCAAGAGATAGGTGTGGCAGCTAATGTCATAAGTAATGGTGAGACTATTTCAACACCATCCTAATTCCAATTTTAATCGTTTTGAGGTTCCATAGGAAAGTAAAAGTGTACCAAATACAAAATTATTTACTAAAAAGTTGTCCATTCACAAAGTACTTTACAGTCAAGCTTCGCTCCCCACTCAACTAATTAAACCTTTTGTGTGCTATGTATTTATAAATTAGTTATCTGTGAACATTAAATGATGTACATATCTGACCATAACAATTTGGAATGATGCACATAAATTTCAAAGTAAAAATATATAAATTGAAATATATATTGCTTGAGCATCCAAGAATCTTATGAAGAAGCTTCAGAAAACTGATGAATATCTAGAATACTGTTGTAGACAATAAAAGAGAAAAATCATTTATCAAACAATTTTATCACAAAATAACCAATGACTTCAGTCTATTAATAATTTATGAGCTTTATTCATGCAAGAAATTAATTCATAATTCCAGTGACAAATTTCTTTTTAAAATTGAATTTTTAAAAATTTTTGAGAACTTCACACATGGGTAACTCTACATCACTTTCATCTCTCCTCTCCCCGCTTCCTGTCCCCCAACTCTCTCTCAATTTTGTGTCCTCTTCCTTAATTATTATTACATACACAAACATATGCACATTATACATAACCTACTGAGTTAGTGTTCTCGTGTACATGTGTTTAAGGCTGACCACTTGGGAGTGGATGATCTATTCAACATAATATCCCAGATATCTTTTCTCCCCTTTAGTATAAAATGTTAGCTTCCTTTTTGTGGATTTGCATTAATCAGCCTTTCCCAATTCCCAATTATCCTAGGGTGATGAAGAACTATGAGTGGATAAAACTCTCTGTAATTTTCTTTTGTTTAAATGTTCTTTGGAACATTTTCCTTATCGATTGGAAAACATGTATATGGACCGTATTTCCTCAGTTCAGTCTTTTACATAGAGTAAAACAAATCTCTAAATAATAAACAGCCAGGTGAGCTGGAGAACATTGCAAAATATTCTTCTTCTTTCTTTAATGTGATTATTTTTCATACTCATGCATGACTGTGCATATGATACTTTACAGGCATTTCCTTAAAAAATACACACAACACATTTCTTGATTGTGTTCATTTACCATAAGGTTGAGAGAAAATGTGTTTCATAAAAGAAAAAAAATGGTTTACTTTTCTGTTCTTTCAATACTCTAAGTCTTACTGGAATTTTTTTATATTTTAAAGTATCGTGAAAATATTTTTACTTGTTCTAATACAATGGGTTTAAAAAATTTAAGTAAATGAGTGTCACAACTAAATATTCCAGTTCTTAAAATAGAGATATAATATTGATAACAGAGTCAAAATATGAGAGTCATTATAAATCTCAAAAAGAGTCAGAGCTGAAGTGGAGCTGAAGTGATGGCTCAGCGGTTAAGAGCAATTGCTGCTCTTGCAGAGGGGCCAGGTTTGGTTCCCAGCAGTTATATGATGGATAACAACTATTTGTAACTCAGGTTCCAGAGAATCTGATAGCCTCCTCTGGCTTCTGAGGACATTGCCTGGGGAAGGGGGAACCCTCATGTCACTGTCAGTGGGATTGCAAACTGGTGTGGAAATAATTATAAAGAACTCTTAAAAAACTAAAAGTAAATCTACCATATGATCTAGTCGTACCACTCCTTGTCATATACCCAACAGGATCATCCTACTACAGAATACTTGCAGAGATATGCTTATTGCTGCTCTTTTCAACCGATAAGTGGATAATGAAAATGTGGTGCATTTACACAATGGAGTTCTACTCATCAGTAAAGAAAAATTAACTCGTGAAATTTGCAGGTAAGTGTATTGAGCTAGAAGCTATTGTATTTAGTGAAGTAATACAGACTCAGCAACACAAGCAGCATATGTTCTTTATGGTTTGTGGATCTTAGCTCCACATCTGTGGATATAAGTATATATACTGATATAACTGCTGGAGCCAGAAAATTGGAGAAGAACATTGGGGATAAAGGGAAAAAAAGAACTCAAGAGAGGAGGATAGTAGGAGACAGGTATCATTAAGGGGGGAACCAGGAAGTAGGGGTACTTTAACCCAACTTTTAAGGGGGAGTAGGGAGTATTGAACAGGGGGTTAGGAGTAAAGGTAAATTATGATTAGATGGTATGAAAACCAGAGGGAAATATATTACTTCCAAGTCCTACTGAAAAATACAATTACAATAAATATATAAGTGTATGTGTATAACTGAAGGCTATATAACAACAACAAAAACTCAGTGCCATGCAGGAGAAACCTCCCCTTGATTTACTGGTCAGAGAAGTCCAAGAGATTCCCAAAATAATACAGGCTATTGCCACAACCCTTGATTGCCAATACTTGGCAATAAGACCCTATTGCTGAAGACAGGCCACACTTCAGAACAGGATTTGGAGTGATTGAACTGAAATGGACCTGGAAGCCTCTTCCTCAGCTGAAGACCAGCTCACATGGTATCAGAGGATACTATATAAGTTTCCAAGGGAGAAAACCAATCAGTGGTCTTACCCAATTGTAAAGCATAATAAACGACTGGCCCAGAAAACTATCGCTATTGGTGCAGTAGTAGCACTTTTGTCTTGAGGGTAATCAACAGCTGTCTAATTGTAGTTAAGACCCACTCAATGGGAGGGGACTCATGTATAGTACTGTAAACATAGCCAAATACACACGACTGGAGAGATCATAGATCCTAGAGAAAAACCCACCTTTGCCACATCCCTAGACTAATGCAATTTCTTACTTTATTCTAAATATATATCCTCATATTTACAGACAAATGCATCTTTCACCCTTCATCAAAGAGGCTTCTTTTTGCAATAAATGGATACTATTACAGAGTTCCAGAATCGGTCAAACACATAGAATAAGTATCTGTGAGACATGTAGCCCTACATGAGATATGTACAATGTAGTCTCTATACATAGGATGAATGCGTCTCTCAACTCCTACCAGAGAAGTTTCCTTATGCAACAGATGGTGATTAATACAAAAACCCACAATTGGCCAATGTGCCAAGAACAAGAGCTCACAGCATGCTTATCTATAAATAGGATATCTGTTTCAAAGCTCTGTCTCCCAAGGCTCAGGGATCATTATGCTTACGAAGAGGAAGTGGAAAGATTGTAAGAACCAGAGGGCATGGGTGACCACAGGGAAACAATCTTCCAGACAGCCAGTCAGATACTCTTATGAACTCACAGCAATGGTGACAGCAAATACAAAAGTCCTATGTAAGCTCAAAAAGTCACAGCATAGTCTCGGGAAAGTGCTTAAGAAATTCCAACCCAGCCTAAGGAACTTTTGGCAATTGATGTCTGCTGGGAGGCAGAAAGACAGTCTCTTTCTTTTTTTTTTTTTTTTTTTTTGGTCTTTTTGAGACAGGATCTCCCTGTAGCCTCAGCTGGATTCGCTATGGAGACCAGGATGGCCTCAAACTCACAGAGATCTGCTTGCCTCTGTCTCCCGAGTGCTGGGATTAAAGGCGTGTGCCACCACGCCCAGCAGAAGGACAGTGTCTTACAAATAT